TTTTTATTATTAAACCAATGCAGTTCTTATTCAAAGGTATATGCTTCCTTTAAATAGCTAAAGACATACACACTGTATTTCACATTCATATTCATTTTATTTACTTATTTTTGTGCAGTTTTAACCAGTTTTTATCTATTCTTTCTACTGCTATGATGGTGTCCTAATTGGTGTGGTACATAACTTGAAAGCAATGCCATTAACACTCCAACATTACAGCAAAAGAAAGCAATGCTCTCAAGCCATATTGGGATAAAGGCATTTACTGAATGAAACTCAAGCAAATATGCTGGAAGAAGCCATGATGCTTGAGCTGCCACCCAGAGAACAGTCAATATCACTGCTTTCTGCATTGTCATTATTAAGCGAGGCACAGCTAGGGGCAGCAAAAGTAAATACCACAAGAAATATTGGGATGTTACAACTTTGTTGAAAGTAACAAACACAACAGTCTGTGTAAACATGGCAAATGGTACATCTTGTCTGTGGCAAAATTTATATCCTAATGCAATAAGGAGAACGAGCTGCGGTCCAAATGTGGCAATATTCAGTCCTGGAATATGATAATCTGCTGCAATGTATAATAAATAAAAATATATTGAAAAATTATGCCGAGTGTCTGTCCTAGAAAGGTGATACAAGAATGCTTCTTCAATGTACTGTTCCCCATAAAGTATGAAGCCTAGTCCTGTTAAACCAAAGAAGGAAATGGTTGCCCCAGTAACTAATCTCATCTTGGTGTAATTTGGTAACACTCTCTTCAACAATGAATCACTGTGCAAATCATTTGTTAGTGACATATAGAGTGGGATGCAATAAATAATGGGATAGAGTTTAAAGTGAACAGACATTCCTAAAAAGAGGCCTGCCAGAACACTGAACCGCAACTTCATCATGTACACTGTTAACAGGACCAGGACTGCCATAACAGATTCTGCACTGCCACGTGTTGATACACCTATTACCAAAGGATTGTACAACCATAAAAATGAACACCTAAGAGCTGTTAACTTGGTAAGCCCATCAATCAAAAGTATTTGATAGATTAGTTTTGATGCAACACAGTCTAGAAATGAAAACATTAACTTGCCAAACATGAAATGCAAATTTACATTAGGCAAAAGCATCCATGCCAGGAAAGGAGTATATCTATATGTATGTCGATCATATGGACTACCTCCTGCTGCCACTTCATGTGCAGCGTCTGTGAAAACATGGTAATCAATGTCTGTGTACTTGAGAGCATGTGTCCTGTCATGATGCTCTCCATACACAATGAACATGAAACGAATTAGGAATCCCAGACTCAAATGGATCTGAATTCCATCTGTTGATCCAAAGCGAGAATTCTTGGTGCCCAAGGCCATATTTAAGATCTTGACAACTCAATGAGGCAGTGGGAAATATTCAATCCCAACTCTGGTTTTATGCATAAAATGCTTTATATAAAGTCTTTCACTTATAACCAAATCCAGTATTTTCTATTTTTTCAGGTTGATTGCAGTATCCAATTTGCCTAGTATTTCCAAATTAAATTTTTGTTTTCATTTTTTTGGCAGATTCTAAAATACACCTTTTAAATGCATCAAACTCTTGAGTACAATCTCCTTTCAGTACATTTCCTTTCAAAGCCACACAACGTGCATATTCAGTTGCTACAGGTGCACAGTTTGCAACAAGTTTTGGGTAATTTCGCAGACGACTTTGTGCCTTCTTAACAGACTCCATCTTGGTTACAAATGGACCTTCCTCCTTATTTCTGCTTTATAGGCAAGGGACCTTCAATATGTTCCCTTAAAAATATGTCATACAAAGGACGACTGAAGAAAATTGTCAGTCCAAGACCAAGACCAATAAACTGAAACCTGCGAGGATTGCGATATATCCACCGACGAAAACGGCTAACCTTGGGTTTGTTGCTCTGTAAGGGAATAAAAATTATTAATCAAAAAGGTAATTTGACATAGGCAATAAAGAAACTGACTGGTAAATAGATGATGATGAAGAAGAGGAGAAAAGAAGAAAAAAAGATAAGAGAAAAAAAAATTAAAAGGCAAGAAAATGAAATGAAAGGAAAGGGAAAAGAAAAAGGAAAAGAGGAAGAAGAAGGCAAAGAAGAAAAGAATAAAAAGAAAAAATAAGAAGAAAAAGAAGGAGAAAGTAGAAATAAGAAACAATAGTAGAAAGCATAAACAGAGGAAAACCATGCAAATGTACATTCAAGTGCACATACACAATAGCTACACCAAATATCCATAAAAGTAAACAGTTATTTCAATTATAAGCTCACTGCCACTTGAACTGGCCTCTCGAACTTACCCTTACACTCTCTGGGTTGTAATGATACTGAGAGGGATCTTGTTGCAGTGACCTTGACCTTGAATTTGACCCTTCTGGGAACGTCTCCCTTCCTGGCCTTTGAGAACCCGTGGGACCTGAGCGGTACGAACTTGGCAAATCAATCTTGGCTCTTGGAAAGGGTGATTTGACAGGTTTCGACATTACTTCTTCTGAAAAAGAAAGAAAGTAAGAAAGAAAGAAAGAAAGAAAAAATATGTAGATGAATATATATTGTGCTATATATACACAATACTTTTTTATATCCATGAAATGTTAACTGGAACCATATATGTAGTTGCTTTGGTAAACAATACACTACCAGGAGTTATACCTTGCATTTTTTAAATTTTGGGGAGTATCAATTCTGCTCTTTACCTTTTCATCATTCTCATCTGATAAAGATCTTACAATAAAAAAAATGTATATAATTTTTTTTTTTTGGAAGAGAGAGAATTCAAATTCAAATGCTTTATTCCATAAGTTACATTAACTTTTTTTTTAATATACAAATAGTGTTTTTACAGTACAAATAAATTTGAAGTACACAAAATTAATACATTGAAGTCACATTTTATCATATATCTAGAAACCTGGGGTGGTATACACAAAACATCTTAAAAGATTTTTTTTCAATTCAGCTTAAACATACTCTATAATGAGGCACCATTTGGAATTAATTCATAAAAGTGGTAAAAATACTTTAAGAGATTTATAAGTTAACCCCATGTGCCTAGGAAAATGTCGCATTCACTATAGTATTGCTTTGTAAAATGTCTCAGCACAAAGACAGCTCCATATGACCTTAGCCACAAAGGAGTCAATTAGTAGAGCTTGTGACCTCACTTAATTTCACCTCTCTTTAAAGGTGCATGAAAATTTCTTTTTTTTACTTATTCCATCAATATTGAATATTACTGTAAACAACATAATTATTATAATGTTATTAGCATTAATAAAAGTAATATGAGATACCAGAAAATATTTCCAAAATCAAGGAAAAGGGTAAACATGTGAGATACATAGTACTTGTAATTAGCTCACTGACGATGCAGTACTTGTGGAGCCATCTAACTATAAAGACAATAAACTAAACTCACAGTGGATATGGCATCCCCTGCATCAACTGGTTAAAGTAAAAGTTTCTAAAAGTCCCTAGTTATGATAAGTTTAGCAGTTACTATGCAAAGAAAAGACATAAAAGCAAATAATGAAATAAAATATAACAACTAAAATGGGAATGCACCATGACATCATGTGTGAGAAGTCATTAAATTTGGAATAGTATGAAGATGTAGATGAAGAGAAAACAGGAACACAGATTGACTTGACAGCTAATTCTTTTTTCTAATAGACTCTTGAGTAGAAAAGAATAATTACACTTATAAGGGCAAGTATGGGTCTAAAGTGACAGAAGATGAAAGGTGGAATGTGTGGGTGAAAATTGCAGACTCCATTGATGCAGCGTAACCCAATATGAAATGGACAGAGAAGGAGTGAAAAAAGTTATATAATCCAAAATAAAGAAGCAGCATTTGTGTGATCTTCAAAAGCAACTATGTGAAACAGGTAAGGACTGCTCTCTTGTGAGTCTATGATTTACTCTGCCCTTACCCAAACACTGTCTTCTTCAACATATATCTCATGATTATGGGCCTACATAATAATGTATTAGGTGTGCAAAAGATTTATTTAAATTTTTCTGTGAATATAGTCTCATATTTTAATGGGCAAAGCCCACCCCACCCTTGTGACAACGGACTGATAATGCTGGCTGACTATAGTTACAGATAAATAATTTCAACAATTATATTACAAAAACATAATACACACCATCCAATTCGACAGTGTAAAATACCTGTAAATCTGAAACTGTGTTTTTTATACGTCATATTCCTCACACGAGAGAGAGAGAGACTGAGACTGAGACTGAGACTGAGACTGAGACTGAGACTGAGACTGAGCCTGAGACTGTGATTGAGATTGAGAATATGAAAGAAAAAGAAAAAGAAAAAGAAAAGAGAGTGAGACTATATTTCTATATTCACATAAATACAAATAAACACTCACAGGTACATGAGCCTTGGCTTTCACGAGATCATTCTCCTCTAGCTTGACGCCTGCGCAGCATCCAGATTCTTTACTCCATATCTTGCAGCAATTCCTCAGTGCTTCAATCTCTGCTTGGCAAGCAGGTTCTTGGTACTTGTTCTCTGAAAAGTCATTGCATGTTGTAGTATCATAAACTTCTGAAAAAATACATGTGTGTGTGTGTGTGTGTGTGTGTGTGTGTGTGCGTGAGAGAGAGAGAGAGAGAGAGAGAGAGAGAGAGAGAGAGAGAGAGAGAGAGAGAGAGAGAGAGAGAGAGAGAGAGAGAGAGAGAGAGAGAGAGAGAGAGAGAGAGAGAGAGAGAGAGAAAGAGAGAGAGAGTATATGTGTGCATCTGCGTGTGTGTGTGCCTGTGCCTGTGCACGTGTGTGTAAGCATTTGTGTATGTATGTACACAAATGTGCGTGTACATGTGCATGTGAGTGTGTGTGTGCATCTCAATGGCTTTCATTGCTTCAGATGAATTCAATAGAAAAACAAATCTGGTGTGAGCCCTCCTGTGGGGTACCTCGGCAAAGGCTAACCTCAACAATTTACTTTCCCATCAATAATCA